CTCTCTCTCTCTCTCTCTCTCTCTCTCTCTCTCTCTCTCTCTCTCTCTCTCTCTCTCTCTCTCTTTCTGCTGCAGCTATTGTGTTATATCATCAGTTAAATTCTAAATTAAATAATTTTATTACATCTTTATCAGCCATTTATGATGAATTAAATCCGAAAAATTTTCTGATTGTCGATCTACTGCAATATCTAAAAATTCGTATATCAGTTCACACAATTGCATTAATTCTTATCTAAATTAAATACTGTATTATTGTACTTTATTTCACGTTATTTGAAAGTATATTTATACAAATTGAGTAAAAAGTATAAAATATAAATAGTTATTCATATACAGGGTGTGCCATTTATCTTGACACATCCAAATATCTCGAAAAATACGTAAGATACGAAAAAAATATGTAAAAGTTGCATATTTTTTTCCAAAGCAACTGTGTTTTCTTTACATCAGCTTATTCATCTTATTATTGTATGCATAAAAGTATTAAGGTATAATTATCAAAAAATCAATAGTTTAGTCATGAGATATTTCATGTCGAAATATGGCATGATAAAGTATTAAATCTCATAAGATGATTTTTGAAAATTGATTTTTCGATAATTTTATCTTAATACTTTTATATGTAAAATAATTAGAGGAATCATATTATGTAAAAAAAAACATTGTATCATTCCATTTAAAAAAGTAGAGGGACCTCCATGTGACCTTAAAAAATCAATTTTTTTGTGAAATTAATTTTATCATTACTTGTCTTCCTTCATATGCCATTACTTATGTTTGAAATATTTTTTCGTATCTTGCGTATTTTTCGAGATATTTGGATATATCAGGATAAATGACATCTGTGTGTGTGCGTGTGTGTGTGTGTGTGTGTGTGTGTGTGTGTGTGGTGTGTGGTGGTGTGGTGTGTGTGTGTGTGTGTGTGTGTGTGTGTGTGTGTATTTATACGTATATACACTTACATATGTATGTATATATTATGTGTATACGTTAGTTTGTGTGTTAAATATCTAATCCATACAGAGAACGCATTTGTCACACACGCGCTCACGCGCACTGAATGGATTACACAAAAGTATAAATCAAATTTATACTGCCTTCTTTTCTGCAATCTTCTTTCTTTTCTCACTCCTTTCTCACCTAAAATCGCATAATCTCTTGTAGTCCTTGCTTTGACACTTTATTTTTTTTTTACAGGAGCCATCTCTCCTAAAGCAATTGCTTTGAAATTATTTGTCCTTTTTTGTGTCTGCCGCACCATACGACGAACCCTTGCTTATCTCTGACATTCCGAGCGTTTTGTACATTAGCACATAAACTGTAATTTGATTTATTTCCATGAGAATGATACATTTAAAATAAATTGAGATATTTTCTGCAACTTAATAATATTACTTATAAAAGAAGAAACATAAGCAATACAACAGCAAGAAAATCGAGCAATCAGTTAAAAAATCTAATTCAATTTGTTATGCTTACTACCAGCATTTAGCTATCCATAATTTAATTTAAAAAATGTAATTTTTACATTTATACATATAACTTTTAAAATTTTGCTATAATTACTATTTGCGAGTTAACAAGTATGAAAAAATATAACAATGTAACTAATAGCTAAAGATACTAACGTAATGATGACGTAAATAAATATGGAAGAATACTACTTACACGTAATGATAACCCCGATCCCGACGGTAATGCCAAAGAACGAGCCAGATAGGAGGAGCCATAAGAGGTAATATAGCATTGGTACAAGGACAACTATCGCCCAGCAAATGGTATTAACGAGGGAATAATATCTTCTTTTTAGCCTGAACGAACCTGTCCTAGGTACTCCGCTCATAGCAAAAAAATCACCGGTCTCATAGAAGCTCTCCGTCATACGGTCCTACCAAGTAAAGATTTCATCTAGCGTTACCGCGTTACATTGTCATATCAAAGTAAACTAAGCCACTTAACAAAGATCAGTTCTTGCATATTATTTTTCTCGATTAAATCACAAATTTACAAATTCTTCTCCTAATACGCAAAGAAATAATCCAATTTCTAATGGTCTTTTTATAGATAAAATAATCAAGTTGGATAACGTATAACTTAAGCAAATCATTTACATATTATGTATTGTATGGTTCTATGTGGAATAGAAAGCTACTCTCAAACTCCTAATTCAAATTAAAAGCTTTTCTACTTGAACTTGCGAAGCATTAATATATATATATATATATA